ATCATATTATATCAATTATGTCTATTACCCTGCTTTGGAAATATGTATTTGTAAGTTATGGATACTTTCGGGTTGGAAAGCTCATGTGCGATAGCAAAATTAGGTCTTGAGAGTGGAATTTTGTTTTTGTACTAACACTGCCTCCTCAGACGTAAACTGCCTATATGATACATCCTACTGCATTTCTATAATTATTATTTTTTTCTGTGGGCTTTTGCCTGAACATAAGTTTTGCGCGTAAACCAGGGATTCTTCTAGACATATTGGTCAACAACATGGGTCAAAGGAATATGGTGTACGCAAATCAGATTATTGACTTGGAAATGGATCAACAAGGCAATGGGCATCTTCATCCTGAACCTGGTGTTCTTTATGGGAGCATAGCAAATGTTCTTCCTCCAAATATTCACATGGTGTTACCAACTCCAGCAAATACAATTAATTGGGATGTCCATCGTCTACCAGCGCATCGTGACAGTGCTTTGTTTTATGGAATGCCGCAGTACAATAATGTTCAGCATCATCAACCTGCCGCCAATCTTGACTTAGCTGTTGCCACGGCATCCAATCACTATGCACCACACATGGATCCTCCGTCTGGCACCAGAGTTTTCCCTATTCCGCTAAATCATGGGTCACATGATCAGTTTCCATTTTCAAGCAATCATGGAATCATTGGAGTCTCTGCAGACAGCTATGGAAGGAATAGTCACTTTGTGGATGGTCTCAGAGGTTCCTTTAAGAGAAAGAATGCTGAAGGCATCCCTGGGAATTTTCAGTTTTGTAATGCTTCAGCAGGCTCTAGTTCTGCAGTTGCCCCAATGAGTGCAAGGCCTCTTGAATCTGATGTTACCTTGATGGATGCAGCATCTTTTGCACTCCCGGAGTACGGAGAGAATGACATGTCATCGGCCATAGAAGTTGGATCCCACAGAAGTTTGAGAAATAGATCTGTTGCTACTGGTCTTGATTCTGTGATGGCACATACTACTAACCACATTATTCAAGGAAACTATCAGGGTCAACCGTTTCAGACTGCACACACTCCTTGGGTGGACCCACAGTTTGGCCGTAATGGAGGTGATAGTGGAACTTTTACCTGGAGTCAGGCACCTACTTTACCCTATTTGCATGGTAATTTTATCCCCTCTTAGATTATTAATTTCATTAATATGGGTTAGTTTCTTCCATTTTTTTTTCCTATCATGTACTACTTTTGATTACAAGTCTCCCTGATGGCTGCTAAATTTCTAGGAACCTGTAGTTCTATCCCCTTTGTGTCATGTTCATTTTTTGTTTCAAAATTGGGTGGGAATTTTGCTGCTCTTTTCATGGATGATAGTATAATGACGTATATAACCATGTTTGGATGGTAATGTTAGTGATATTGCCAGTTTCCAAGCAAAATATGAACTCTAGACTGGGGAAACTAGTTATGTCCCATTCTGAGTTAGTAGTATGGATAAAATTTCTAAAGATATTGACATGGTGAACTAATCGCAAATCTGTCAACCTCTCTCTCTCTTTCTCTCTCTCAGTTTATTTTGGGGACATTAATGCAGGTTGTATGGAGGCTGGCAACATGAATGTACATGGATATCAAGTCACAGCTAGCCATAGAAGTTCCACACGTTTTCTGCATCCTCCTCCCATCCCCCAAGGGCACCGCAATCTTCATCATTTACCCCCACCTATGCATAGGTTGAGAGGCCACAACATTGACTCCAATTCTCAGGTGGCAACATCCTCACGCAGACTTTCAACAATTACCACCTCACACACCAGTGTGAATCCTTTCCAGGATGGTGTAGAGGCAGGACCTGGAATTGTTGGATCTGTTCCACCAACTGGCTTTAGGATATACCAGCCTCATCGAATGGAAGCCATGCCCGAGGCAAATTCAAGGCTGCGTATCCATCCTCACTTGAGAATTCTGCCTGAAGATGTAACACTTTCCTCAGATTCAAACAATTTCCTTTTATTTCTGTCATATGTGATGATTTTGTTTGATATGAATCCTAAGGTATGCTAGTAATTATTGACTCTCTGTATTCTGGGTTGAGGTGTGTAGGGTGTTGCCATGCTAGAAATTCCAGGCTATTATGAAGTAGGGGATTTCATTGATCATCACAGAGATATGCGTTTGGATATAGACCACATGTCTTATGAGGTAAATGGAGGAAGTCCATTGGCTTGTTCTTACCATGAGAATACCTTGATAGTCAATGCAGAGAACATCAGTCAATACATGATATCTAGTTCCCCCCCCCTTCCCCCCCACAAACAACAGGAAAAACCCCCTCCTTACTTTTCTTTTACTTTTCCTACTGGATGAGGACTTATCTGGATGTATTGGAGCTGTTCATGGATGCAAACCTTTTGCATCATTTTTAATTCATATTTGGATGAATAAGATCTTGATTATTAAAGTCCTAACCTTTTAATGCCAGGAGCTTCTTGCATTGGGAGAACGAATTGGCACTGTAGGTACTGGGCTAGTGGAGGAAACAATTACTAGTTATCTGAAGACAAGAACATTCAGTTCATCCAAAACTTGTTCCAAACAAGAACAGGCAGCACATGGGGATCAGGAAATTGATTTTTGCGTGATTTGTCAGGTATTGTTATCATTCGACTATATTTCTGGGGGTGGCTATTTGAATTTGTTTTTAATTTCAGGGTATATTCCAGGTTATCATCTGAGCAAAGTCACAACCTTTTCGCAATGATTACTGACTTGGTGTTTAGAAGTTTCATTTTTTGAGTCTGTAACATGTACTGTTACTCTGCTTTATTCTTCATTTAGCATGCTTGTCTTCTAGTAACACGATTTTTAACCTTCTGAGTTGCAGGCAGAATTTCTTGCTGTCATTGTTATTGTCTTCCAAATCTTCCAAATTAATTTCCCTTTTCTGGATTTTGGCTTCCAAAATGCTAAGAAAGAATTTCTTTTTGGTCCTAGAGTTTTTACAGAGTATGGAGTCGATGCCATGGTTATTGTCTTTAAGTTGTATAAAAAACACCCATCTGTGCTTCCCTCCCTTCTATTGTTTCCTCTATTCTTCGTTTGTTTTATATTTGTTGCGAGTGTTGTCAGATTTATGTTCTGGGACAAACCTCAAATCCGTGCTTAAAACTAACTAATTATACTTTTTAGTGCATGATGACATTTTTAATGGTCATTTGGATTGTACAGGCCAACTTTATGGATCGAGAAAGAATTGGAACTCTGGATTGTGGGCATGAGTATCATTTAGATTGCATTAAAAGGTGGCTGCATGTGAAGAATACCTGCCCCATCTGCAAATCCTCAGCAGTGACGACAGAAAGGAAGCATTAGTGAAAGGCGTGACAATGTGAAGTTCAATCCAAATAACTCCCCCGTGTTTCGTTTCTTATTATTCTTATTTAAGAGGGGATTTTTTTTGTGGATTTTATGTATGTATATACTTGCACAGGTATAATTAACTGTCTATATTTCTCCATGCACATTCATTTGTTGGCCTCCTGCCTATCTTTTAAGCTGTACAGACTTTCTTATTTGCTTCTGTCATCAGGATTGCTGTATTAACTTCTGGTTTATACAGTGAATGTTGAATATAACACTATTTAATGTGAAAATTCACCAATTCTTTTTAGTTAATATTGATTCTAGGGGCCTTTAAATTTGTTGGGTTCACTCTTTTTATGCTAGTGAAGTTTCCTGGAGCATAGGAAAGCCTTCCGCTGTAGATGAAAGTTCTTTTTCCATTAGCTCTCCTTTCACACCAAGCTCCACAACCAGAGTTCTTGCAGCAATCAGTTGTTGATATAACAAAGAGCCCTACGTTCCAGTGCGTCGGGTTTTGGAATTCTCTCAGATTTCTTCATTTAAGAAGAGAAACAAAGATGGGCCAAATATTTACAAGCATCAGAATGCAAAATAACGCATGAAATAGTGGGGAGTTGAAAAGTTTTCCGATCATGTTTTAATGAGGAAAATAGATAGAAACCCAGCCTGGGTAGCTGTTACTTGATAGTTTGAGAAGATGGATATATCTCAACCATCTTCTCGGTCAAGGCCATCAATCAGCCGAAGATCAAGCCTCGAGTTTGAAAAATATTATTTGGACCTAATCAGGAGGCCTAATTCAGTGTATTGAATTGAAAGAGAGTTCCACCTAACAATTAATTCAATGACTACACTGAATTAGATTCTGGATTACGTCCCTATAATATTACTCCTTTTCCTTGAGTTTTGGAAGAGGTCTGGTCATGAAGGCTGTGAATGCGTTTAACTCTTGCAAGGGTGGGTTTTAGGATTAAGGTTTAGCAAGCTGAGCTATGGATAAGGGCTTTTGAGAGCTATAGTGTTTGAATGCCAAGATTGCCTTCATTACTAATAGCGATTGTCTCGTGCGGTGCACAGAATTTTCATAGCTCTTTCACTGTCACCCATAATTCCAACCCACCCAACTCCACCGTCACCGCCACCCCTACCCCAAACCCATCCTAACATTATTAGAAAGAATAATGAATGTTTTGAAACAAATTAAAAGTGAAGTAGTTAATAAAAGATTGAAAAATTAAAATGAGAGATAGTCATCCAAAAGAGAAGTGGTTACATAGGTCATGTCAAATAATTCAATTGGAAGAGACTGATGCATTGCTATTAAATAATTTAAAATCAGGAGCAAATGAAATTTAGGGAGGAAAAAATTCTCAAACACTATCTCTCCTATATTGATTCTTATTGTATAGAGTATATATAATGGAATTGGCCTGAATTTTTATTTCATATAATGATAAGAAAATCCTGTGGGAAGTCATGATTTGAACGGTTCAATTATCTTCTTCATTGTGCTCATTCTCCAATTTATCATCTCTGAGAGAGGGCATAAGAAACTGAACTGCCAATGGCAGGAAAATATGATCATTGATCATGTGGCAGGCTTAAGATGATGCAATGCTTTGCATTTTTTTTTTCTTTTTTTCAGAGAACTTAGTTTCTTAACAACAAAATCACATTATTAATGAAAAAAATCCACCCTTATAACACAACATTGAACTAATCACTGCAGTTAATAGAGTTCCACGACACTAATATGGTGCATCAAATACAACACAAACTACTGCAGTTAATAAATGAAACAATTCATATGAAGAAGACTTGAGTAAATACTAAGAAACTCACTGCAATCTATATGGAAAGAATCTCCAGGCCGCAGCTCAGTACAGATTTCAAACTGACGGGCAACCTCAGATAAGCTTGTGCCCGTACCCATACTCGTACTCATGCTCGTGAGATAAGCTCAGATAGGAGTCCTAAAGATAAGCTCAGATAAGGGTTCTTAAGTTTAGGCAAAGAACGTCTTGTTGGTTAGGCAGAACAGCAACCAACTTTTTTAACAGCAGAAACATCGTCCTTGCTTCCAACGTTGATGGTTTGCCCTTTAGGCAAGCCAGCAGGATCATCTCCAATATCAAGTGCTTTCCGGCTGACCACATGATATATTTGTGTGAGCGCCTCTGTGAATGCATTCTCAACATTCAGCGACTCGAGTGCAGATGTCTCCATGAAAAAAGTGTTCTCTCTCTCAGCAAAGGCCTTTGCATCCTCAGTGGAAACTGCACGCAAGTGACGTAAATCGGCCTTGTTCCCTACAAGCATTATCACAATATTGGAGTCTGTGTGATCTCGAAGTTCTTTTAACCATCTCTCAACATTCTCAAAAGTAACATGTCGGGTGACATCATAAACAAGCAATGCACCAACAGCCCCTCGGTAGTATGCACTTGTGATTGCACGGTATCTTAGGAAAAGCAAACAAGGTAATTATTTCCCAAAGGATTAACTTATAAATTAAAGTATGCATGTAAAAATAATGGTCAAAAGAAATAGCTCAGACATTTTATATTCACAAAATCTTGATGAAAGCTATGCACGAAGAAGACAGAAGAATTCATTAGATACAACTGTATGTCTATCAGATCACAACACCACATTGTCTTCCCACTTGTACGGTGATGTTCTTAGACTTCAAATACCCAGGGCTAACAATGAGAGAGAGAGAGAGAGAGAGAGAGAGAGAGAGAGAGCTAAAATATTAAATCCAGGAAATATAATGTCAAATAACCAAACAAATTGCCATTCTACACATGGAACTTACAGGAGGTCATGTCTGACTATGCTCTCATACAAAATTGTAATACAATATAATAGTAAGACAAAAAAAAGCTCCAGATCTGCAAAAAGCTGCACCTTTGGAGACTGTTTCATAGAAAAGAATTGTGAATCCCTACATCAATTAGATTTTGTCAGGAAATTCATGGATATGCACAAAGCACCACTGTTGAAATAGATGGAAACGAGATTGGACCTCATGGTCACGACAAGCAGAGGGCCCTATGGAATGCATAAGACTCTAGAATAAACTCTGTTTTGATACCATTAACAAAAAACCAATGTCAATGTCAGCCATTATTTTATCTCAACTGTCTGGAAGGAACATACATCTTCAGCCATTTTTGCTAAATGAAAAGCCATTTACAGTTGCTCATATCAATTTGCAAAGCATCGACAACTCTCAAGCCAAAGGTCTTAACAACAAAACAGATTGGAACAACACATCCGAGTGGATTTCCACCGAAAAGTCTATGATATTTTTCCTTCAGAAGATTTTAAGATTTTTTCCTTTCAGATATGGCAAGTGGTTTAAGGGGCATCATCAAGTCTAAATGTGTGGTACTGGTTCCTAAAGATTTCTTCCTGAAAATCAAATTTCATATAATTCAAAATTCTCCAGCAATGGTGACAATAGGAGGAGCGTCAATAGGTCTACTAAGACTACTAAATGCAGAAACTATTCGAAGGAGAAAAACTTGAAGAGCTTTAGATTTTTGGTTTCATGGTGAATATTTCAACATTACTACAGGCTTCACAATTCCTTCTTTAAAAGAAGAGCTCCGAATCATAATGAGAATGTTCAATACTACTAAATAAATGAAGTGAAGCAAACATCATTTTCAACATACATAAAATAGAAAACTCTACTTATTTGAGAATCAATTCCCATTTTAAGCTCTACCAGTGTCATTACAAAGACTAAAAGGCAATCAGTGTTGTATCTGGCTACCTCAAAATCTTGTAGCTGCATGCAAAATCCCAACCACCGCACGAATAATAAGAGAAGCAGATCCTCCATACACAGCACACATCAAATCTAAGTCCAAAGATATTATGAACAAACCAATCCAATTCTCACGTGCAATATCTTATATTTACAAGCCACTCTCGATCAGAAAACCCTAGCATTGATGACTACTGTTTATCCCAGAAAACATAATCAAATCAAATTTTCAAATCTCATACGATGGAAATGCACACATTTTCTTCGTAACCGAGAAGAAAATTACCAAAATTCAAAATCAGCCAAACCGAGAGAGAGAGAGAGAGAGAGAGAGAGAGATAGAGAGAGAATAGAACCTCTCTTGGCCAGCAGTGTCCCAAATCTGGGCCTTGACGATCTTGTCATCAACACGAATACTCCTGGTCGCGAATTCAACGCCTATTGTGGATTTGGATTCGAGGTTGAACTCGTTCTTAGTGAACCTCGAGAGCAGATTTGATTTGCCCACACCAGAGTCTCCGATCAAGACCACCTTGAACAGATAATCGTAATCATCGTCGGCTCTGTACGCCGCCATTTCTGTCAATCCAAACCCTTTCTCTCTATCTGTATAAGGAAATTCTTTGAATTTCACAGATCAAATTTGAAGAACTATACGTATATATATATATGGATTTTCCTATTATAGGTATATAAACTAATCGCATAGATATCTATCGGTTTCACAGAGAAGATAGAGAGAGAGAGAGAGATGTAAAGGGTTGAAGGTTCAAGAAATTGGAGCTGGGGAAAGAGCTGTTTAGATAGAGAGAGAAGGAAAACGAGCGACCAGAGCTTTTAAGATAAATTACACTTCGACCCCATCAGTTATGCTTCATGTCTCGTGTTATTCCATTAACTATTGAATTGCTGACAATAAAGTGGTATGTCGTGTCATCATGTGCCCTTTTTTTTTTTTTGGTTGACCAGCATCACGTGCCGTTTATACTATGACAAAGGGCTATTTGAAATTAAAACACGCTTGTTAAAAAAAAAACCTGAAAACACTTTTTTTTTTTTGGAGATGGGGAGGGGGCTCGTCTTACCATACCAGACGCAAATATCTCCTAATTCATGCCCTCTCTCTCCCTCCATGGTATGTAAACGACTACTCTCTCTCCCTACCTATTCTCTCTAAGCCCTATGCATCCCGCTGCATGCAGAATTTCTTAAATGAAAAAAACTTTATTTTTTTATAGGAAGAAAGAATTTGTTACTACTAGCGTGTTCAAGGGAATCAAATAGATTGGCGCAGGAGGTTGGACTTCTCAAGTGCACACACATATCAATTACTTACTTTTCATTTACTCATTTTCCAAATTTTTTTGTATTTGCGTTGTGATTTGTTTTTTCCCCAAAATTTTGTGCATTTTTTGTGATATCTTTTATGATTGGAGGATTTTAATGTTAAAGCATCATAGATGACTATAGGATCAAATTGCCTTTTTCACATACTTTGTCTAGATATAGCATCATTTTCATGAATATATTGTAGTGAAGCTATTTTCATAGGAATATAAAAATATAAATTAACACCCACTATTTTTTGAGGCTTTGAAGTTATTTTCAAATTCAATAAGTCTCTTGATGTTCTTTCAATTCAAAAAAGAAGTTTTTTTTTTTTTTTGTCAATTTCCTATTTATATAGACTATGCCAATTCCCCATCTCCACTCCTTATTTTGTGTTTTCTTTCATACAAGTGTCTCATGTTCAAAGAGGAGGCTAGGCTTTGGGTAAAGCTCTCAATTGCTCTCTGTTTATAATAAACATGTTCGTTTTTTCAAGTTCCACCAACATTATAATATTTTTTGCTATGTAAATCTTTTTAAAATCTTCAATTTCTGTACGCTTTTCTGTTCAATATCTATCTGATTTTCTATCAAGGAAAATATTAAAGACGCAGGAGGTGTTGATATTGATTTCTATCAAATTTTAGTGTGAATGGTTGAAGCTTCAAATGGATTTCTGTCCCATTTAGTTTGAGTTTTGAATGATGAAGACATTGTGTTTATATACACAAACAAAATTGAATGATCAGTTGTTGCCCATTGATTTTAGTGTTTAGCTGCTAATTACTGGTATTTAACATTTCTTTGACTAAACTGGAAATAACTAATAAGGAGGAAAGGAGAATTTTGTAAGAAAAAAAATAGTAGGGAACATGGGTTAGTTGATATAAGTGAATGCAAATGTTATTGAATGGAGCTTTGGGGTTTTGGAGATCCTTCCTTACTGAAGAAATGGAAATCATCGGGTATCCATTATGTGTTGTCCTTAAGTTGTTCATTGCATTCACCTTTGGAAATTACTATGTGTCAGTCCTTAAGAATTATTCTGGCCTCTCTTCCCCGCTCATTCCCTCAAACTTCATAGTGTTAATTGAAGAACTCGATTATCTTTATCATGCTTATATTTTTTATTTGTTGTATTGATTTGAAAGTCAACTAATGCTTTAAGAAAAAAAATTTTGGAACCTAATGACTTTAAATTCTCTTATCTTATTTCCTCATTTAGAACTCTTTGGTGGCTTTTCAAATCAAACCTACGTCCAGACAGAACAATGTATACAATAGCCAAACGGCTTAAATTTAGAAGACACCAGCTTTCCTTTGGGAGTATCTATTTGAGTGAGTGACTTGCCCCATATGTAAAACTACTGTTTTTGTGTAGATAATGGATCTCAACAATTGAGGGATAATGGTAAGGTGAATAATTGTTTGTTATCTAAGGTTTTTTTTAACTATGGTGGTTCTTCTCAAAATGAATGTCGTTTAGTTGTAAAATGATTTTTCCAAGTCAGCCAGTTTGTAGTTGGTGCTATATGGGTTTTTTTTTCCTAATTGCTATAGGAGTTGGGTGCTACATTGATGGTTGAATTGCCAATTGATAAACTCATTGAGTTTGTGTGAGCAAGTTAAAAGTGTATCCAAACTCGCTGTAAGCATATTTCTCATGGATTTTAATCCAATAACTAATTAATGATGTGCTATTAACTAATAATCTTTAAACAACTAATATCTTTCAATGATAATTAATTATTGATTAATGACCTCATTAATCAATGACTAGTACTACTTCAAAATCTTTTAGGGTGTCTTTATTTGGAGGATTGCTATACATGGGATTGGGAAATGTATTCCTTACATTTCAAATACTGAGGAAAATTAGTATTGGTAATAAAAAATAATGCAATCACATCTCATGTTTGTTTGAGCAATATGTATTTTGGTGGATCCTACAAAAAATCATCTATTCTGTCACGTCTAACATAGCAAATATACGTGTTCATCCCTAATTCCATCCATTCAATGACTTCCTTTGTTTATAGTTTTTGCTATATGTTGGCTATAATACTTGCTATGACAATTCCTACCTAAAAAATCTCGAACTCTTCTAAAAAAATCCACATAAATATTCAATAATCCCATTCGTACACATTTTATCATCGCATAAAAAACAAAAAAATATTCAAAAAACATACAAGAAGTACCATTACCTGTTCTCGTAGGAACATTCCCAAAATTGGCTATCCATAGTCATAGACAACCATTAGATTACATATCAAAACATACAAACTACTTGGCTACCCTTCGATGTCAACCTAATTACAAGGACACAACACTTTCTTACACTTGTAAAATTATGGCTTGTGTGGACATCCCCATCACAGGCGAGCCTTTTCCATCATACACTATAATATAATATTTATAAGTTTATACACTAAAGTGGCATAGATAAATGGTCGATGATGATAATCTCTTCATTCATACCCAAAAGAATTGGGGATGCATCAACACTTTTAGAAAATTCAATGGAACTATCTGGTGGTAGTTTAAAGATGTCCTTCAGTTTGTTAAATAAGGGGCACCAGCAAATCAATGAAGACCTCATATTCATCCTCAGTTATTGGAACTCGACATATCTAACTATAATAATTAATTACATAAGATTACAATATTAGTTGCAACTAATACCAAAATGAATATATAATAACAAGTACATGTTATAAGATAAATTTTCATAATCCAAAAATTCCCAAAAAATACATTCCACAACAGTAAGAGACTTTCACCCTCTTCTCCCCAAAATGGAGTATAGAATATGTGTGAAAACCATACCCAAAGTAAATATAGTGGCATACATTAGGCAGTTGCAATGCTTATGGGTTTTCCCTTCATTTTTTGCCACATTAGTAGGTGTGGTAACAACCATTTTCATTGTCATTATTATTCAGGCGGTGGCTCCGGCTGGACAACGACATTGCAAATAGGATTAACGTCACGTGCACCATTGTCTTGCGCAATAAAAATGCAAAATGCATTTTCTGCCTCTTCGTACAAGTCATAAGACTTGTACAATGAACCTGGGTATCTATTTGACATTTCTGTCATGTCCTATACATACCAACTTGTCTTCCAATTAACACAACATACCATCCTTGACGCCAATGCATAACTTATCTACCTAAAAATAAGTCAATTTATTGTATCCATTAGATCACCACCACATCAACCATCTATATAAAAAACCAAAGCGAATGAAATTATACGGTACCAACAAATTCATTACGTGCATCATAATATTTTTTTTTTTAAATAAATTTTTTTTGGGAGGGGAGGGGGATTTGAATCATTGATTTCAAGAAGACAAAACTTTTACAAGATAAAGAGTACCATTGGATCAAAGACCCATTGATACATCATAATATTTCACAACCCAAAAAATAAGCAAATATGCAAAAGGTTAGAAAGTGGTTTCAAGATGCTCCTTTAGGTTTTTTAAATTTCGTGGGTGACGTACCTACTGAGATCAATGTAATCAATTATGTCTCTCCTAGAAGTTGGATTGTCATAGATATAAAAACATATATACAAAATATGTGGCATTCAAGCTCCACTACATCTGTGGGTAACTGTTACCACACAGCAACTTCCCTACCCATGAAGGCTTAGACTTATCAGGCAAGCTAAAGAACAAGTCAGCTTTGACAAGATCACATGTAATTCTATATCCAGCCTCATACATCAAACCCTTATCAATCCAGTCAATTTTCGCTAGCTCAGAAAATATCATCTGGTGTGCATCAGAAACATCTTGATTATGACCAACCTTATTGGCAATATGCTCTGGCTTCCTACCACAAGTGTCAAAATAATCACCCAGGGTCTATGCTTCAATTGCAATGACAAGTTCACTATGGGTCATAAATGCCGAGGTCCACAACTCTTGTTGCTTGAAGGAAGCACTGGCGATTTAATATGTGAAGAGGTTACTGATGAAGCAGCAGCAGAGGCTATATCTAACCCTCAACCTGAACCAGAAATATCATTGCACGCCTTAACCGGATGGTCCTCTCCTAAAATCGTGAGTGTTACGGCCAAGATTGGGTCTCTCGAAGTTATTGTGCTTATTGATAGTGGGTCTACCATAATTTTATCAGTGCAAAGGTGGCTAATCTGCTTCACTTACCTGTGATTTCCACTGATCCATTCACTGTACGAGTTGCTAATGGGAATCGTCTACAATGTCAAGGGAGATATGAGCATGTGCACGTACTTCTCCAGGGAATTCGCTTTTCTCTCACTCTTTATGCTTTGCCGCTGACTGGTTTGGATATGGTGTTGGGTATACAATGGCTGGAGCAATTGGGTTCCGTTGTTTGTAATTGGAAGAAATTGACAATGGAGTTTCAGTGGGATAACCAAGTCCGTAGGTTACAAGGCATGGACATCCAAGCTATTCAATCCGTGCCTTTGAAGTCGATTTCTAAGGAATTGAGGCAAGGAAACTATATGTTCGCCATC